ATAGATGAAATTATAAAAAATATAATTATATAAATTAGATTTGCTCTTTCTTATAAAAAATTTTAATTTGCTCTAATAAAAACAAAGTAGGCTTTTTTTAAAAACCTATTTTCATAGCATCTATAATATATACTATATTTTTATACTTCAACTTTTTATTAGCTAGTAAGTTTTATATAATATTAAAGATATTTTATATTTAATAAACCTAATTCTTTACTACAAATCTCTTTGTATTTTACCACTTTTTTATTATTTTAGTTTTGGTTACTGCTTGATTATCTTTCCAATTAAAATTACCAATACTACTTTAGAAATTGTTGGTACTATCTATAGCAATTAAAAATTTATATATACAATCTTTATATAATAGAACCTTCTGTAATATTTGCTTGTTATATATAATACTATCTTTTTGCAATAAACCTTTTTTCAAAAATTTCTATTTCAAATATATATTTACTTGAACTTCTTACATATGAGTAAATTTAAATATCTGTAAAAACTATATCTACTAGAACTTAAACCCAAAACCTGCATATAAAAGGTTGGGTGTCTAGACCACTAGGCCACGGAATCTCAATCTATTTATAGTTAGCTTATTATATTATCACATTTATAATTATATTATATAGTATATATTTATATAGAATGTATTTAAAACAAAAGATTATTTAATTTATAAAAAAAGTCTTAATATAAGTATACAGTCTGACCTTGATATAATCACCAGGTTGGGAAACAAAATTTTGGTGATTATAAAAAGTTGTAACTAAATAAAGGTCAATATTTATATGTTTTATAATAGCTAGATCAAAAAAATAGTGTGATTATAACAAAGTTGTGATTATATTAAGAGTGACTATAACGATATATTTTTTTAAAAAAAATTATTATATACTGATATTATATGAAAAAGCAACTTTATTTGTAGAAATTTTATTTAAAAAAACCTATAAAGATGTAGAAACTAATTTTAAACCTTTAAATTTATTTTCAAACCTCTGAAAATTTTTAAAATAGGCATTTTTTGTAAAAAAAAAAAAAAAGAAAGAAATCAACATGCTACTAGATTTCGGAAACTTATTGTATAAGAAATTTCAAATTAAAGATCAAATTAAAAATATTACTAGTATATATTATTACAATTAATATTACAAAAACTAACTAGTGATTGTAAAAAAAACAATACATCTATGTTCTATTCACATTTTTTTTAAAAAAAACAATTTTTCCATTACAACAAAGTCTCAGCATAATAGCTAAGCTCAAAAAACACCAATTGTTCAAAATCCGAAATACCTAGAGAATACAAATGAAAACATTATACAAGACCGATAAAGAAAAACAATCATTCTATTGCTAAAATTTAACAAACTTTATAAAAAATTCCCGAAATTTAAAGGAAAATATATACATACAGGCTTTTAAATAAGTTTAACTCTGTACTGTACAATTTCCATTTAAGTATGAACCTATAAAGCGCAAATTTACAGCTTTGCCTTAAATTAAGGATTTCCAGAATACGTGACATACGAATCCTGTCTGATTGCAGATTCCCTATTTTTATTTCTCTTATAAGCTCGAACCACAAGTGCAGTTAATCCAGCATACAATAATGTAGATCCAACCACTGCTACAACAACAATTGCTCCAAGAGGACTACTAGTCCCCGATGAAGATTTGGATGAAGTATTGAAATTCTGATCAGCTGTTTGGGCGTTTTCTGCTGAATTCGCTAAAAAAAAAAAAAAAAGATGGATGTTAAACATATTTCTAATATTAACTACATACCATTAATTAATTACACTAACCTTGTAAAGCCATGGGAAACTTAGGATTCACTAACTTATTGACTATTTTTTGATTTTCTGACACACCAGTATAAAATTTGCTGGAAGGATTACTTAAAGTCTTTATAATTTCATCACCGTTCGATGTTGCAACTACCACATCCGCCAAACAAGTATTATCATCTGGCGCACGTTTTAATTGAGTTACATTTATTTTATTTGACGAGATATCGAAGAAATCCGCTATATTATTTGGTAACACATTGCACAGTATCGGAGGATATTCGGGGTCATTTACAACCGAAGGCCACAATAAGTTTATCTTTATGGTAAAACGACTAGTGTTCGCTTTTTAAATTAAGAAATATTGATTAGTATTGTTTAAAATTAAAATAGTACATTAAAAATTAACAAACATTGTTAATTTACGTTGTGAGTAACTGGAGGGATCAGTTGAGGTAACAATAACAGAAGGTAAGTTGTCATCTGGCGGAGCAGTATTTTTCGCAGGTTCTGTCGCCATAGGAGCTATAGGAAGCGAACCAGTTATTACAGGAATATAAGGCTTATCTTTATGAGCAGTTTTTTTTGGAGGTGCTTCATCTGTATTATCATCATCATCATCTTTGGTTGTGGGACGAGGCGATTTAGTACGCGTTGTTGATTGATAGTCCGTTATTTTTTCAGGATTTGGTGTAGTACTTGGAGTTGGTAATTCGGCAGTTGTGCTGCCACGAGGAATTGGAAAAATAGGTCCTATAGCGTTATTCATCGTTGTTGAAGTAGCTGTTAAAGTATTTGATTTAGTTACAAGCGCTATTTCATCCAAATGTGTCTTAGTTGTTGTCATTGATTGCGGTGTAATAATTGCATCAAGTGGTGCATTTGCTGTCGCTGAAGTAGTTGGTTTTGTTTTTCCAGTAAACGAGTCAAGATAAGGTGCCCCCGTTGGTGTAGTTGTTTTAGTTAATGCTGTCTTTGCATATGAGTCAATATAAGGTGCCGTCTTTGATGTAGTAGTCAAAGATGACGAAGGAATTGCATCATTCTCCCGTGGTGGTCTCGTCGTTGATGGTGACAAAGTAGTTGCTTTATTTAATGTTTTCTCCGCAGCTGCATCAGGTAAATGCGGCGTATTTGTTGCATCAATTGAAGGTGGTTTAGTTGTCGCCGATGATGACTGCGATTTATCTAATGCTGTCTTAGATGAGTCAATATAGGGTGTCGCTCCTGGTAAACTAGTTGCTTTAGTATTCATAGTATTTGCTTCATTCTTCTGTGGTGATGGTATCGTCGTTGATGATAACAAAGTAGCTATTTTATTTAATGGTTTCGTTGCAACTGCATCAGGTGTAGCTAAAGGTGTCGTCCTTGATGAAGCCTGCTCAACAGATGATATTGATTTTTGAACACCATTTTGAACGGGTGTTGGTTTTAGAGGTAGTTTATCGGATGTTGTAGGCGACGAACCTTTCAGATAAGTGGGTGTCGGATTTGAAATATGATTAACAAAATCATTTTGAGACGAAGTGGGTGTTTGTTTTAAACTCTTCTCAAAAGATGGCTTAGCATTATTTTGAGCGAGTGTTGGTTTTAGAGGTAGTTTATCGGATATTTTAGGCGACGAACTTTTAGGATAAGTGGGTGTCGGATTTGGAATCTGATTAACAACATCATTTTGAGACGAAGTGGGTGTTTGTTTTAAACCCTTCTCAAAAGATGGCTTAGCATCATTTTGAATGGATGTTGGTTTTAGAGGTAGTTTATCGGATATTTTAGCATCATCTCCTTTCCGTAAAGTGGGTGTTGGTTTTGGTTTCTGATTAACAACATCATTTTGAGACGAAGTGGGTGTTTGTTTTAGATCTTTCTCAAAAGATGGTTTAGCATCATTTTGAGTGTGTGTTGGTTTTAGAGATAGTTTATCAATATCATTTTGTAATGGTAAAGCGGGTGTTGGTTTTGGAGACTCTTTAGCATTATTTTGTGACGAACCTTTCTGAAAAGTGGGTGTCGGTTTTTGAGATATTTTATCAGGTGCTTTAGTATTATCTTTTGAATATTTCTGAGAAATTTGTGTCTGTTCTGAGGTACTCTTCTCAGAAACTTGGGGAGATTGTACATTAGATTTTTCATCACCATTTTTTGGAGAACTCTTAGAAGGCTGCGTCTGTTTCGGAGGTTGCTCATTATTAGATTCTTTAGTACCATTTTTTGAGGAACTCTTAGAAGATTGCGTCGGTTTTGAAGGTTGTTCATTATTAGCAACATTTTTTGAAGGATGCAAATCAGAATTTTTAACATTATCTTTTGAATTTTTCTGAGTACTCTTCTCAGAAATTTGGGGAGATTGCACATTAGATTTTTCAGCATCATTTTTTGGGGAACTCT